CCTCACGGTTTCTGTTACCTGTAGTTGCTCATGTGTATGTAAAGGGATCAAGGCAGTTATTTAGTCATGATGAGTTTACAGGGGGGTGAGCCTTTGTCTCCACGGAGTATATGGACATACTCATTTGTGCCTTGTTGAGAGGGCGGGATGGCTCCTGATTGGGTTCAGGGATTGAGGCTGTCTCCATCACGATCCACTGTCTAGAGCAGTAGGGGATAGAGGTGACCAGTACTTCCTGGAGGGGCTGTTGCTTTCTTCTGTACTGAAAAAGTGAGCCGATGGATCTGCTTGGCATTCCAGTGGTTATCTTTACCTGGTTCAAAGCCCATGCATGGACCTTGTTACCTTTTCAGTAGGGACATGGCAGCCTTGGAGCAGAAACATGTAAGAGTTGTATATACCTGCTTATAGCTCTCTGAGCATCAGACACCAGAGAGTAGAATCCACAGTGTAAGACACGGCAGTAGCTTGGTTCAGAAGAGAGTTTTTGCAGAAATCCATAGCAAAAAGGTGCCACGTGCATGTTCATTCAGCCTGAGGGGAGAGTTCTTGGACAATGCTCTTGAACCTCAATCTCCTCTATAGAAGAGAGAGAATTTTGACTTTCTAGGCAGCGTGACCCAATAATCTAGTCTGTTTGCTAAAGAAGGGAGATTTCTTGGGCAGCATCAGCCTTGAGGATTTTCTTGTGGGTAGTCCAAAGTCAAGAGTTTGGACATTCTTCTAGGGCCCCTTCTAAAGCAGAGGTTTTTAACCCTTTTGGTCATGGGTAACATTGGCAGCCCTATAGACTCCTTTTCAGAACCATGCTTTTAAATGAATAAAATAAAATACATACTATTACAAAGGAGACCAATTATCTTGAAAAAAAGCTATCAAAATATGTATTTTTTTAAGTAAACTTTGATTTTTATAAGGTACACTTTTCCAGGAGAAAATGCTTTCAACAGATCTTTTGTGAAGTAGATTTTCCTAGAAGATTTTGGTCTTTGATATGGTTATTCTGGCAAGATGCTTTAGACTTAAGTCAAAATATATTTTTTAAAAGACCTACGGTTAACCCCTATGGAGAAGGGGAATTCCTGAAACACTCCAAGTGTGTTCCTTGGAGACAGGAGATCACCCATTAAGCCCCACAATCAGAGGTATTTTTTAGGGTTAAGGCCACGCCGTGGGGAGGCAAGAGATTAAGATGTTGCCCCCTCCCATTATTACAATGAATTTTTCAGACAGCGAATGTTTCTATCAGAAAGCTGTTGCTTATTCAGCAGCCCTAAAGCCTAGTTGTCTATGTCTCTGTCTCTGTCTATACAGAGTGGCATTATAAGTCTGGGAGTGACCGCGTAGGATGCTGTGGGAGAGAGGTATTTCACTGAAACGTCAAAGGGGTGCCCTGGTGGCAGCTCCAAGTTAAGTGTCCGTCTGAGGTGAACTAGTAGACTGCTGTGAGGCCTTTCTGTGTTTTCTGTATCTGTTTATAGACTTCTGTGATTCCCTTTTGTCATTTACATTTGCTGTGGGGTGAAATAAATGTTGTCTTTTAGGAGACTTGCACTTTCTACCTTGAGTACTTGTATGATAGCTGTGTATCCTTTTCACCTGTGTCTGTGGAAATAGAGGCAAAAGGTAACCTATATTTGGAGATTTTCCTGGAGTCAACTCTGGGTGGAAGCAATGAGCCAATGAGAGAAAATGACCTCTTTTGGTTGCTAGGATCACCCCCAGTCTATGTGAGCCTTAGAATCATGAGGGGCTCCTGGGCCATGGAGAGAGATGAGCTTTATTACTATTGTATGCATCATCAAGACCTCAATCCCTATTCCGGGAGAGACCTGTGGTCTGCTTCTTGATGAATGAAGAAATGGTGTGGGAGACCCAGCTCCAAAGGGAGTTATGAACAAGCTAATGGCTAAAAAGCTGGGCCTATGAAGGGTCTCATCATAGAAGGAAGGGCAAGAGTTCATGCTAATGATTAGGCTGGAGCAGCTGTGACCTATGAAGTATCTCTGGAATAATGCAGTCAGCTGACTGTCATGGAATGGGAATATCTTTGGTTCGAGTGCAGGGAAGCCTCAGAATGGGAGGAAAGCTAGTGCCCTTAGTCAAACTATTAGCAATGGCTGCTGCCTTCTTGCCTTCCTGATTGTAGAAGACAAAAAAGATTGAAGTGTGCCTGGCTTCCTGTAGTCCCAACACCACCCCTCTCTTAAACCTGATCCACGTCCCCTGAGACTTCCAAATTCCAGGGATACATACTCTATTCTTATTGGGCCCCTCCCCCCACCTCTGAGCTATCAGCCCTGACCTGAATATTTCCTTCCCCTATACAGCTTTCTGCACATTGATCATTATATCACTGTAGGCAATCCACAGCTCCATGGACCCAAATTTCAGCTCCCCAGCCCCTAGGATAGTCACATATAGTGGTGGGGAACATGGAGCTGTGGTCATCGGGTCAAAGAATATTGGGAGAAATGGTGTAAGAGAGGGCTGGTTTAATGGGGATGAATTTGGACACCTCTATCTTGGGGTATGTAGGTGGTATTCAGGGGCAAGGGAACAGCTGCTGGAGTAAGGTACTGAACTTGTGCCTTTGTTATGATGCTGACTGCTATGGAGTATAGATATTAGAAATCTGAAACTAAAAATTAAACATGAAATGTTGCTATGTAAGTGTCATATGAATTGCTACCAGAGTCCAATTACCTATGATACAGGCATGCCCGAGAGAATAGGGAAGGCCTCATAATGTATTGCCAACAATCCAGTTGTCATCGACCTGGTGACAACATTATCACAGTTAAACCTTTCAATGTTCTCTGTGTCCAAGGCCTCAGGCAGCTCACAGCACAGGTTAGCCCAAAGGTCTTCTCTAGGGACACAGAACAGGAAGGAATTCAGGAACTCCAGGATCCACAGTCGCATTGCTTGGTCACGAAAAAGTCTCACTCAGTTTTTTTCATAGAATCAAACAATCAAAGAATCATAGAATTGGAGAGTTGGAAGGGACCTCAGTGGTCCTCTAGCCCAACTGGCACGTGGAAAGAATTCTCACTATAACATACTCAACAAGTAGTTATCCAGCCTTAGCTGGCTATTGTGGCTGAGATGTTTTAGTCATATCTAACTCTTCATGACCCCATTTGGGGTTTTCTTAGCACAGATACTGGAGCAGTTGGCCATTTCCTTAGCCAGATCTTTTTACAGATGAGGAACTGAGGCAAACAGGGTTAAAGTAACTTGTCTGGGGTCACACAGCTAGTGAGTGTCTGAGGGCAGATTTGAACTCAGGTCTTTCTGACTCCAGGGCCAGTGCTCTATCTACTGCAATACCTAGCTGCTCTAGCTTGAGGACTTCAAAAAAGGGGGAGTCCAGCACCTCCCAAGGCAGTCCATATCACTTTTAGACAGCTTGATTTGTTAAGAAGTGGGTTTTTTTTTTCTGATGTGAATAAATTGCCCTCTTTGCAATTTCACCCATCACTGCTGATTCTTCCCTCTGGGACTAAACATATCAGGTTTAATAGTTTATCTCCTGCAGTAACTCCGGATAAATACTTGAAGATATCTATCAGGTAGGGCAACTAGGTGGCGCAGCGGATAGAGTGCCAGGCCTGGAGTCTGGAAGACTCATCTTTATGAGTTCAAATCTGGCTCAGATACTTACTAGCTATGTGACCCTAGGCAAGTCACTTTACCCTGTTTGCCTCAGTTTCGTCATCTGTAAAATGAGCCAAAGAAGGAAATGGCAAACCACTCCAGTGTCTTTGCCAGGAAAACCCCACATGGGATCATGAAGAGTCAGACACAACTGAAAACAACCGAACAATAACAAAAATCTCAGGTCCCACCAAATCTTCTCTTCTTCAAGCTAAACATTCTCAGTTCATTTGACAGCTGCTCATAAAATATGCACTTGAGTCCCTTTACCATCCTGGTCCCCCCCTCTTGTTTTCCTTTTGCAATTGTGGTATAATGTGGGTGAGCCTGAAATAGAAGCTGAGAGGCCTGGCTCTCCCTGCCATCAGGCAGCCTCCAAGTGGGAGAAAGGCTGTTATCCACCTTAGAGCTGTCTGCAGAATTTTCTGCCTTTCTTCTCCCACAGATCAACTTGCTGATGGTATAAACAATCATAGCCATTTATTTATATGACCTCCTTTCCACTTATTCCTAGCATGCAGCTCAACAGTGATTAAGCAGGTCCTTAATTAAATATGGGTGAGATGAACCTTGCTGTAAGTTTCTTCTGATTAGACTTGTGGACAGTCTTCCTGGTCTGTGGCTCATGTAGCATGATAACATATAGGGTCTTGATTTAGAAACCTTAGTGGGCATGCAGGATAGAGATCTAGCATTTGGGAAATTTCTGTGAAGTTCAAGATGTCGATAATAACTACTTAATCATATCTGGGCTACTACTGCAAAGCATTTAAAATAAATAACAGCTTTGGTGGTCAACAGACTTAGAGATTGGACCAACATCAGTGACTGTACCAGAGACAGTTGTATTTCATGGAAAGAAGGCTGCACTTAAATCCAGAAAACAGATGTTTTAAATCTAGACATGAAATATACTAGTGGCATTACCTTAGGCAAATCCCTTCAATTCTCTGAATCTGTTTCCTTACCTATAAAATGGGATCACCAGATACACACCCTTCCTGAAGAAGCAACGGGTTGTATAGAAAGAGAAATAAATTTACAGTGAGGAGATCTGGGTTCAGATCTAAGTTCTGTTGTGAGCGACTTCAGCCACTTAACATTTACAGATTATGGTTTTTACTTATCTGTAAAAGGAGGGAACTAGCTGATCTCTAAAATCCCTTTTGACTCTCAATCTGATGAGTCCTTTGGCTATGCCGGAAAAGCACTTTGTCAGCTATACGGTTCTATTAGAAATGTCAGCTCTTTAGTAACAGTCCCACCTTTATTTGTTGACTTAATGCCTTGTAGATTTTCCGTAGGGGCTATTCGAGGAGAAATAAAGAAATATATCTTACCTCTGCCCTTCGACGATTCTTTTGCTTGATTATGCCCAGTTCTTTCTGTATTCTTGGATGGTTATACGTGCTCCGAGGTACCTGTTCAGGATGTCATCCACTTAGATTATTAAGCACACCAATGTGAAAACACAAAACAGCAGTCTTAAAAGAAACACATCTATCAATAACACAAATGATCCCAACAATCCTCATTTTCATCTTAGGGAGTCCTCACCAGCTATACAACGAAACATGCAAGGCTGATGAGTGTAAAACTACTATTCATTTATGTCTTCAGAAATCCTGTCCTGAGTGTGGCTTGTTAATTAAAAAAGCAGCTCCAAAGTTAGACTTCTCTGCTTTTGTTTTGTTTGGCTGAGACTCGTATGTTCCTCGGAACAATGAGCTGACAAAACTCCTGCCAGACGACTGAGTCCCAACTCCATGGCCAGACTATGATATCAGCAGTAATGTTGTTGTTCAGTTGTTTTCAGTCCTGTCTGACTCTTCATGACCCCATTTGGGGTTTTCTTGGTGAAGATACTGGAGTGGTTTGCCATTTTCTTTCCCAACTCATTTTACAGATGAGGAAACTGAGGCAAACTGGGCAAAGTAACTTGCCGTGGGTTACACAGCTAGTTAGTGTTTGAGGCCAGATTTGAACTCAGGAGGATGAGTCTTCCTGACTCCAGGACTGGAGCTGCACCACCTCACTGCCCCAGGGCCTTAGTTCAATCATAATCTAAAATGAGGTTAGATTAGATGACCTCTAAGGTTCCTTCCAGCACTCAATCTATGCACCTATAAACCTGTGGACTCTGGCTTGACAGAACACTGTGTAATGTCCTGCCGGATTCTCTAGCATCACAATATGGGCCTATGCTTTCCCCTTAGTGTCATCATTTCCCTAGGAGCCTTTTAATTATTCCTAATCACTAGCACACATCAGATCCTGGCCCCTCCCTAGGAGGTAGGGATTTGACCATTAGTGGTTTTCTTCTAGTTAAGTTCTTATCCTCTTCTATTATCACTGCATAAACATTCATGTGAACTGCTAAAGCGGCAAATACTTACTGGTTCTGGCTTCTTCAGAACAGGAAGTACATCAGGAATTAGAATGCCTCGGGGCTTTGGGACAGTCAAATTAAACTCCTTTGGCTTGGTTAACTTTGGGTTCTCTATGTGCAGGACTGACTTGTTCTCTATTATATTACTCAGGTATTTGATCAGCGTTTGTATTTCTGGTTCCCATCTTGAAATAAGAGCAAAAAGAGAGAAGAGTCAATTCAGCTGGTCAACAACCATTTATCAAGCAACTGATCGGTGTAGAGTGTTGTACTTGACACAAAGTTAAATCGGTCAACATTAACCATGTTTAGGATCTATTATGTGCCAGGTATAGTGCTAAGCACTGAGGATACAAAAAGAGACGAAAGACAGTCCCTACTCTCAAGGAGCTTACAATCTAATGGGAGAGATAACATACAAACATATATACAAATCAAGCTGTATAGAAGACAAATAGGAAGTAATTAACAGATAGGGGAGGCACTAGAATTAAGAGGTGTTTGGGAAGGCTTTCAGTAAAAGAAAGGATTTTAAATGGGACTTAATGGAAACAAGGGAGGTCAGTAGATAAAGTGAAGTAGTCAGAGAAAATACCCCAAGCTGAGAGATGGAGTGTCTTGTTTCTGGAATGGCCAGGAGGCCGGTGTCACAAGATTAAAGACTGTGGCAAGGAATAAGGTGTAAGAAGACTGGAAAGGTAGGAGGGGGCTGGGTTATTAAGGGCTTTGAATGCCAAACAGAGCATTTTGTATTTGAACTTGGAGACAATAGGGAGCCATTGGAGTTTATTGAGAGAAAGAGAGAGAGAGAGAGAGAGAGAGAGAGAGAGAGAGA